CGCCCACCCCCCTGCCGAAGCAGGGTCACCCAGAGCAGGCTGCACAGCACCGTGTCCAGGCGGGGTTGGAATATCTCCAGAGAAGGAGACTCCGGGAGTTTTTTTAGGGAGCCTGCTGGGGCCGCGATCCCGGGGCGGTGGCTTTGCTCTCAGGCGGTGCCCCGGGAGCTCCCAGCTGCTGGGATGAGGGGCTGAGGAGGGAGGGAAAAATATACCTTTGGCAAGGCGGATTAAATGATGCGTCTTTATGCTGCTTGCATTAAATTATGCATCAAAAATAAAGACCAGCCCCAGGGACTGCGGTCCCTGTTGCCAGCCCTGCTCCGCACCCCACCGCAGAGGTGAAATGGGATTTCTCGCCGTAGAAAGCTGTGAGCAGCACACAAACAAGCGACGTGCCACAATTAGCACTTTTCTTCACCGTCAATCTCTACATGAGTCGGGGCGGGGGGTGTTTCTGCCCACGGCTGGGTGTTACGGGGGAGCGGGTCAAGCTCTCCAAAAAAGGGGACTTTTTCAGAGAGAAGGGGCTTGCTGCACTTCACGCTTCTCGCCCCGAGGTCCCAGATGAAGCCCAGGCTGGGTCATGGCTCCTTGCGCCGGGGATCGGACGCTGCCCGGGTTGCTCCGTGCCTCCTGCCTGGGGAAGGTCGCGAAGCAAACGGCCCCCGTCAAGGTCTCTCCCTGCCCGTGGCCCCGCTCGGGGGACGACAAAGCGGCTTTCCCACGGCCGGGCCGGGGGGCACCGAGATTTGCTGACGCCAGGTCCCTCCCTGCGGCTGTAAATCCAAGTTTTATAATGGAAAATAAACCGCATAGCAACGTCCCCCTCCCCGGGTGGGGACCAGCCCGTCAGGGCATCACAAGGAGGATGCCCGAGAGCGGGGAAGAGCAAAACCTGTCCCGTCTACAAGGGCTACGAGGATGATGAGGGGACTGGAACATCTCTCCTATGAAGAGAGGCTGAGGGAGCTGGGCTTGTTCAGCCTGGAGAAGAGAAGGCTGCGAGGGGACCTTAGAAGTGCCTCTAAATATCTGCAGGGTGGGGGTCAGGAGGACGGGGCCAGACTCTTTGCAGTGGTGCTCAGCGACAGGACAAGGGGCAATGGGCACAAACTGAAGCAGAGGAAG